AATTTCTCCTCACCATATCACTCCTGAATCAAACGTTAAGGTCAGGAGAATAAAGGAACTGATCACCTATGAAAAAAGCTCTTGATTTTTTAACAAACTCTCCTTGTCAGCACCTTAGGAAATGTTTAGAGAACAGTAAAGAGGATATGCACACTGATGTTAGGATGTAAAGAGTTAAGAATATACCAGAAGTGTCGGAAAAATTATTTTGCTGATTTTCTTGTTTATTTTATGTTTTTTGGATAACTTGCATGTTTTATCTTTTTAATTTAGGAGGTGTAAGTTCCAGTGCGGCCAAAATTGACCGGCCAGCTCAATCACCAATCAATGACCAACGCCCATTTGCATCAACTCAAGCCCCACCACTCAGACCTTTAGTTACTGGGAAGCAGCCAATAGTGCACCAGATGGGTGAGACAAGACCACTAAGTGCACCTTTACTTTCTCCTGCACATTTCATGGGTGGGCGGGATGGAGGTCCAGACAGCATTGAACCTCGATTCCCTGTCCAGGCACTGGCTAATCCAGCAGAAATCGTTGCTCCCATGCGGCAACTAGGGGTTGACGAGGAAGATGCAATGCCTTCCTATCCCATGAGAAACCGGCCACGTGGTATTGCACTGATTATAAGTAATGAACACTTCCAGGGAAACCCTGATTTGAGAGACCGCCAAGGAAATCAAAAGGATGTGGATCAGCTCCGTGAACTATGGGAATTCTTGCATTTTGAAGTAATTGTCAGAGCAGAGCTGCAGTCACATGAAATGTATGATTGTATGAGAGGGATCTCAACGATGGATCACTCAAACTTTGACTGCTTTGTTTGCTGCTTGCTTAGCCATGGAGCCAATGGAGCGATCTATGGCACAAATAGTGAATTGCTGGAGATAAATACCATTACATCCATGTTCAAAGGCGTGGCCTGCCCATCACTTGCTAACAAACCCAAATTGTTCTTCATCCAAGCTTGCAGGGGGGAAGCGTTTGATCGAGGAGCTTGGATTGAAGCTGATGCAGTAGAAAGCAATCCTGAAGATGCCATGAGGAATAATGCAGAGCCAAATGAAAGCCATTTTCTCTTGGGTTATGCCACCCCTCCAGGTAAATTCTCATTGAAATCATGGTAAAAGGTGAATTTCAGTCAGAAATTGCTGTTATTCTACGTCTGTTTGTTGTATGTCATGAATATTTCTCAGAGAATTCACTCACTGACTCACAGGTTTCATGGTGTGAAAGGTTTCTCCTCTTGTCACAAGCATTACAATGAACACTTTTTGCTAATGTTTTTAAATAATATTTTTAAATGTAGAATTTTATTTGCCATAAGAGAGAAGGAAAAAGGAGTGACAGACTATTAAATGAATAATTTTATAATTTATTGATTTTCATTTGCCCAATAAATGTACATGTAATTATTTCTTTTGACTTGAAATTCATTCTCAACAGGTTATGTCAGCTGGAGAAGTCAAATCCATGGCTCCTGGTATGTTTCCAAGCTTTGTGAAGTGTTCCGAAAGTATTGTGAGAGATATGATGTGACGACCATGATGGTGAAGGTTAATGATGAAGTGTCAGATGCATTCACCAAAAGGGGTTACAAACAGTGCCCAGCTCCTGTTGTCACACTCAGGAAGAGAATCTACTTAAACAAAAACTGATTGGTAAAGTCTTTGCTCAAAAGTTACTCCTTAAACCCTTTCACTCTAATGAGTGATGAGGAGAGAATTTCTCCTTACAATATCAAAACAATTTCAAATAGACTAGTGATGAGAATAAAGAAAAATATTAGCTAAGGTAATATTAGTTGATCCAATACCGAATTCTCCAAACTGAGATCTTAAAAATTGTATGGCCGTATGTAAGGAGAATTACTAATGAGATCTCAGGGGTGAAAGGGTTAAGTGAGCAAGGAAAGGAGGTAGAAACTGCATGTCAAATGCAGTATTTTCTGTGCCTTTAGTTAGTAAATAAGTCCCATGTCCATTTTCAGGCAATTATTGGTAGTATTCCATGGTAACTTGAGTTAGGTGGTACAAGCATGATTGTGCCTTTTGGTCAAATGTAACAGGTTTCACTTTGCTTTGTTGTGTTAGTTATTCGTTTCTTCTTTTTTCTCTTTTCACCTGCATTTAAAAGTTGACTGGGCACCCTAATATCAGAATGAAATTCTCAAAGACACTTCCTACGGTACTTGCAGGGGTAATTAGTCTAACTGGAGTTTGCATCATTTCCTTCATTCTCGTGACCTTTATGTTGGGAGAAATTAGATGCTCGTCACTGTTAGGGGTTATAAGGTTAAGTATAGTGTGATTGCCTTGTTTTTCTTCCCTAACATTTCTCCATTTTCACTGACACTGTGAAGACAGTAGACCTATAACACAGCATAGAACGTAACTTGAGTGCGTTCAAGGGTTGACTAGATCTTCTACACTGGTCAGCGGTATGGAATGTTAACTTAAAAATTATAAACTTTGATATGAATGTTATGGTGTTCAATGCGTGCAACGAAACAAACCCGAATTTTTTTTGCTTGGTTTAATTTATTATGTCATGTGAAAGAGAATGCATCATGCGAGTGAAAACCGAAATTGGAAGTACAACATGGACGTTATCACTTCTCAGCGGTGATGGAAGGTGGTGCAAGTTGTTGTTGTTCCCGTCTGTATTGTAATGAATCTTTTTTTATGAATCACGAAAACACGGGAACACAAATTTAGTGCAACTTAATATTACTTACATCTGACACTCAGTTGTTTAAATTTCTATAATTTAAAGATTTCAGATTTGGCAAGTGTTATTTATCGGATAAATTAAGTGTCAGCAAAGGGCTGAATTCTGCTCCAACTGAGGAGAGTGAAACAAGGGTTAGCGTTACCTTGTACAGCGTATGTGCTTTACATAAAGAAACTTGCGGAGGTTTTCGTAAGAACTAAGATTTATAAACCCAGCACTTGCAACGAAGCGTTAGAAAGTTATTTCGTAGTGAATATAGTAAAGAAAAAATTGCATGACCTGCTTGCTATTTTGTGATGTATGGTAATTCTTAATTTTTTTTAGAATGCTTTCCAAAGTGTTTTCGCTAACGGCTTAAGCCCATAATGGTCACAAGATTGTTCGCATTCATGCAATTTCCTTATCTTTTTACCAGTAAGAATCATATTATTGTCATAGGACGACGTTCGGCCAGACTCTAATGATTGGAGTTCCTTTTATGTAAACGTCGACAACTATCATTTGTTAATCGTAACTAGTACAAACCACACAGGTGAATAGTGCTTTTCGCGCGCGCTGATTGGCTATTGCGGAAGTGAACGACAAGTACCATTCATTTCCCAGCAGTCGGAGCAGCCGACGAGACAAAATCGCGCGTCAAGAGTTTAACTTCCGACCAATCCTTGGTATATTGAACCAAATAAACAATTGTTTTGGTATGTGTGTATTATACATGTAAACATTTATTCACCCCAGTGTCGGTGGTGTACTTTCACCTCGCCGCTTCGTGGCTTGGTAAATATCCAACATTATTCACCTCCACTTTGGCGAATATTTGTTAAGTATTGTTTTAGAGTGTATCGTAAGTATTAAGTATTGTTGGAGATCCTTTGAAAATTAAAGAAGTACACGTTAGGAAAGGATCTTAATGCGATGTAGGAAATATAAGCATTAAGTAAAATGTTTTCATTTTGAAATTTTCAGCGTGGAGAACTTTTCAAACATGCACGCTCGTGAAACTAAGAAAAGTAGCTTTTAGAAAAGTGGAGCGGACAGGACGTTGGTAGAAAATTACTTTTCTCCGTTTGCTTCGATGTAGTAAGAAGTCTAATAAAATTTTTTTATAACCAGAAGTGGTTTTTTATTAACCCTTTACACCTTACCATTAGAATTCATATTCTCCATTCTGTTCTCTGAACTTTTACTAAGGTGCTGACAATCAGTTTGCATGATTGAGTAATCAGGTAAAGAGAGTTTGATCAATTAGTTAATTACTCGATCTGTTGTCACTAGTGCAGCTGCGTGTATAAGGAGTCACAATGAATGTCATCGATGAAGAGATCTATTCAAAAACATAAGGATTCGTGTATATTTAGAAACAATAAATTATTACATGACAAAAGCTTCCTTTGTAATGCTGTTCTCTCTGGCTATCAAAGGAAAATAACAAAACGTGATGACAGCAGTTCAAACGTTGCGAATTAAGACAATCGATCTTTAGCTATATGGCGCCAGGCTCTATATTCTCCCCTCTAACTGTGCATGCGCGAGACGTGACTTTTGATAATCAAACACCGTGACATCAGACAGGGACAGAAAACGTGACGTTACTAGACCCAAATTCAAACCAAGATTAGTTCAATGACGTCACATTTCGTGACATTTTTTGCAAGTCTTAACTAATGTCATGGTGTGTGGTTGGCAATGGTAGCCGGCAGTCACCAACACCCTAATCGAAAAAAATACTTCTCGGAACGTTTTCATTTTCAAATCACGTTTCAAGATGATAACTTTTACGAGAGAGTTCAAGAGATGGAAAAAAGGGAGAAAAGTCATTTTAAGGACGATTGCGACGATCTATTTAGGATTTCGTGAAAAGTTGTTTTAAATCACGTTGACGTCAGTTAACCGCTATATTTGCATTTCCTTCTGTTGGAAGATAAATCCTATTATAACATAGCTAGCGAATTTGTCTAATCAAATTCAATTGCGTGAGCGTGCTTCATATTCCTATAGTGCACGCTCATGACGTCAGGAAACAAATCCCTCGAGAAAAATAATTTTCCATCGGGTTGAAAATATTATAAAACAATTGCTTCATACGTCAGCGTGCGTTCATCGAGATATGAAGGGCGCGGGAAGTCAGGAGAGCACGAAAGATGCATAACAGTTGCTCGAGGCTACGCCACGAGCAACTCTAGCTTCTTGAGTGCTCTCCAAACTTTCTAAGTAGCGCACGTGGCTGAGAAAGGTTCGTAAAATCATTCGCACGGAAAACTGGTACTTCGTCATTAAAAAGTCCGTGAAAAAGTGGTCTCCTCACAGATCACTGAATTGGTCAATGATAAACCCTACTTTCCAGAACGTCTTAATCCTTGATCCTGTAGCGCGGTAGGTAATTTTATTTTCAATCGTGATTGCAATAACTCTCAAAGGCGGGTATGAAATTTCTAATTACATAAGCGAAGTGCCACAAAAGATCTGAAGCTCAAACGCCATCGTCATTATCTGGCTTTTAGAGTAATTCATTCCCCTACACCGTATTTTCCATTTTTTGACAATGAAATGATCTCTTACCGACAGAGATCATCAGTTTTAAGTTCGGCGAAGTTAGGTTTCAGTTTGTTTAGCTCGCTGGACAAACTTTCAAGAGCCAATATACGAAATTTAACATAGGGTAATTAAGTGTTATTGAATAAGTTGAAAACGTAAATTAGCCACCTTAAAGAGTTTAAAGTCAGCGCCAACATGGCGACCGCAACTTTTAAGCTCTCTATATTTTATCTAATATCTTACCATTTAGTCACACATCTGCTATTCAATGGCTCTCAAATTATTTCTAATGGGGCCCTAGACTTTGCTAGCGAAACTGGTGTCTCCATGAAACGAGTTATTCCAAGCAAGTTGCTCGTTTCGGTTTTCTTCGTCGCTAGCTTTCATTATAAGATCTACTCTAGCAAGCCGAGGTCCAAAAGATGCTGTTTTAAATGGCTTAGGTTCTGCTTCTACAAAGAACGGATTTGGATTTCCCTTGGGATTTGACCATCTGCATGGATGTGGAATTTAACCCAGGAGATATAACTCCCAATTCTGAAGAAAGCTGACGGAGAAATCAATCCTGCATAATTTCATCTACAGGCGGTTATGCAAATTTCCAAAACGCAGAACCCATTGTTTATTTTTTTCCAATATCTATTCTACTTGAAGTCATGTACATCAGTACTGTCCTGGGATGTCAAGAACAGCCTCTCTGACTTGGGAATGGCGAGGCGTAAACGTGGGGTTTGAGCTGGAAAACAAATTAAAGAGCGGCATTATAATCTTCGCCCGATATCTTTAAGAATTACTTCACGCGCTATTGAAAATGACAACAAAAGACTTACTCACAGGTACGTCGACAGATCTGTTCTAAAGAGGATTCCCCACCAGAAAATCTATAGGATCCCTGTCATCTTAATTGCGAATCTACGATCTCTCAGCAATAAGGTCGATGACCTGCAATATGTCGCATAATGTAACAATGCCGGCGCTGTCTGTGTCTGAGAGTCGCAAATTCCAGACTCTTCTTAGGCTATGTCGGGGTATAACCTTTTTAGGAACGATCGTACGTCTGCGCCTGGTGGAGGGGTCTGTATTTATTTGAGACAAACCTTACCATGCACTCGATTATTTCAGTGTGAGCAGCCGGATGTGGAATCTTTGTGGCTCTCTTTGAGGCCTCATAACCTACCTAGATCGATCTCGTCAATAATCCTTTGTGTCGTTTACCATTCAACCGCTAACAATAATAATAATAATAATAATAATAATAATAAAAACTTTATCATAGTGTCAAACCTTGTGGCCTGGGAGAACCCATACTAATAAGGGGACGCATATTAGTATAAAATACAACACAGAATTATATAAAATACAGCACAAAATTAAAAGACTAAGACGTCTACATTAAAATATGAGTATTAAGGTGAAAAAAAAAGGTAAAAATGTCTTGTTGAGCAGAGGATACAACCCTTGCAGCCGGTTTCTATTAACTCAGCCAGATCTTTGCCACGAATGCGCCTTTTAAACTCATTAATTATTTTGGCTGATCTGTCATTCGATGACAGCTTCGCCCATAATTTAGGTCCTAAGTGTCGCAGTGAGTGCCTACCACAAGTTACAGAGTTAT